GGGTATCACACTAATTGAAATGAATCCAGCAGAGAAAGTTGAATACCATATGGTTTCACTTATACACAGAATTTAGGAAAAAAAACAAATGAACAAATAAAATAAACAGACACTTAAATACAGAGAACAAAGTGGTGGTTGCCAGAGGGGAGGTGGGTGGGGGAATGAGCAAAATAGATGAAGGGAATTAAGAGGTACAAACTTCCAATTATAAAATAAATAAGTTGCAGAGTACAAAAGTACAAAATAGGGAATATATTCAATAATATTGTAGTAACACTGTATGGTGACTACACTTATTGTCATGAGCATTGAAAAACTTGTCAAATCAATATTTTGTATACCTGAAACCAATATAACATTGTATGTCAATTTTACTTTAATAATAAGAATTGTGTAGAAAACAGTAATATCATATACAACATATATACGTGTAAATATATATATTTTTACACATATGCATATGAAATTGCTGGGTCATAAGGGAAATATGTAAAAATGTTCAACTTTAATGGAATTCCCAATTTTATACTTCCAACATCAGTGAATGGGAATTCTATTACTCTCCTTGAGTAGTACTGATTTTTGCATGTTAGCCTTTCTGGTTCATGTGAAATATTATTGTATTGTGGTTTTAATTTTCATTTTCCTGGTAATTAATACACCTAAATTTTTTTTAAATTTTTTATTGTTATGTTAATCACCATACATTACATCATTAGCTTTTGATGTAATGTTCCATGATTCATTGTTTGTGCATAACACCCAGTGCTCCACGCTACACCTAAATTTTTTATTATGATACTGGCTTTTTGTATAATCTTTGTCAAGTAACTTTTCAAGTATTTTGCATAATTTTCTAATGTGTTAATGTCTTTTCCTTATTGATTTGCTGGAGATTAGTTAGATTGAAAACTATTTTCTCCCAGAAAAAAAAATAGAAATTAAGGGTAAATCAAACCTCATATACCAGTTCTCAATGCTGATTTCAGGATGTTGACTTAAAACAGCTTCTCAGTTTTGAAATTCAATATTTTTTCAGAGAACAGTTTTGTTCTCTTTTTTGCATACACATGCTAGTGTTCCTTGTTTTGGGATCAAAATCACTTTGTTGGTTTCTTAAGTATATTCATCATAAGCTTCTTGAAAGCAGAGATTTATCTTATTCATCTATGTGTTACCTGGTCTAGTTTCCAGCACATAGGTTTCCAGTATCTAGTTCCAGCATGAGTGAAGTTAGTTTACTTATCCTTGGAAAAACTTTGAATAGTAATATGCAAATGCTCATTTATATAAAATCAATTAAGATTAGAAGCTGGATCACTATAACTTTTCTCCCACATTGAATTAAATAGTCTCTCATTCTTGGGATTCATTGTAACAAATTGAAAGAATGGTTTCTTATGTGCATTTGATAATTGTAAGTATGCAATACTCAGTTTATGCATAGTGGGTTTTCTGATTGATATATATTGCTAGAAATCCACATTGCTAGGAGTTTTGACTAACCCAAAATACTTATAAGACAAGTTGGTGAGCTCAATCCCTGAGTTATGAGTAGCTATATCATAAAATAACACCTCAGTTTGGGCAGCCATTGATTACCTGCTCAGATAGCAGAGTTCCAGTCCACATGAAGCCTTGAATGCTCCCTACAATCATCTTGGAAAAGAATTGACAAAGCTTACTAGTAATGTAGGGGAAATTGTAACAAGAAAATTGAGCTAGATCTTGTTTTGTGCAATTCAGTGACTGATGTTATCTTACTAGTTCCTCTCACAAACACAACACTTACTTAGGAAAATCTCTAACATATACATAAATTTCTGACTGTAATCTAGGAAGTGTTCCACAGGCTTGCAAAAAGAAGCTCCAAGAAGAAAATACTTGAACTATTAAATTATCTTAAAGCTGTTTATGTTTTTCAAACATTGCATAAATACTGAGTAGAAGAAATATTTGCATGAGAAAATAGAGATCAGTATACCAAAAGATGATTTGTGATTTCTGGAAATGTAAGTTAATATTTTAAAAATGTTTTCTACTGGACTGTGAGTGCAGCTCTTTAAGACTATGCATTCAAAGGAGACACTACAATTCCTGTATTTGAAAAGACTTCTGGGTCAGCACTTTACTAATACTACTGCTCTGACAGTGAACACTAAAAAAACAAATTTAGAATTAGTCGAACATAATATGGCAGAAGCATGTTAAATTTTATTATAATGCTTACTTGTAATTTAAATTGCTGTAGGGTGCCTGTGGATAAGGAATTTAGCTTAAATAATCATTTGCAGATGATGCATTTGATATTAAATGGTCTGAAAAAGAAGCAGTTTTATTAGGTGAAATAAGTTCTAAACTGAGCTGATAAAATAATTGATGCAGTTCACAGAGTGAATGTGATTAATATAACTGTATCCTCTCAATTGAAACAATAAGAATTACCATAGAATTAACTAATTTTAGTGTCTTTTATGCAGCTCTTTGAACATATACTGTTAAAGGTCCTGCTATGCTCTTTGAGACCAGTTCTCCAGCTACAGAGAATACTCATAGCTTATTTTTAACATTTTTATGGGTTTTTTTTTTTGCAAGAGGGCTGGCTAACAATTTAAATCAAATTTTTTATATATAATTTCCATACAATAAAGTTCAACTCTTTCTATAGTTGGATGAGTTTTGACAAGTAGACATAGTTGTGTAAACAAGACCAAAATTTGTTTATTTATCTGCTGATGAACACTTGTGTGGTTTTTAGTTTTGGGCTATTATGAATAAAGTTGCTATGAATACTCATGTATGTCTTTTTGTGGACACATGTTTTCATTTCTTTTGGGTGAATACTTAAGAGTAAGATTGCTAAGTCAGATGGTAAGAAAGATTGTTATGTTTGATTTTATAAGAAACTGCCAAAACATTTTCCAAAGTGTCTGTACTGTTTTATAATCCCATCTGCAATGTATAAGATTTCTAATTACTCCACATTCTCACCAGCACTAGCTATTGTCAGTCTTTTTAACTTTGGATATTGTAGTATGTTAGTGGTAATATCTCACTGGGGTTTTAATTTTCATTTCCTTAATGACAACTGATATTAAGCATTTTTTCACATATTTATTGGCCATTCACATGTCTTCTTTGATGAAGTGTGTGTTCAAATATTTTTCCTGTTTTTATTCTGTTCGTGGTCCTAAAATTGTATTGTAAGCATTCTTTATGTATTGTGAATACAAGTATTTTATCAGATATGTCATTTGTAATTATTTTCTCCCAATATGTAGCTCATATTTTTATTTTCTTAAAAGTGTCTTTTGAAGAGCAAAGATTTTTTTGTTTTAATTTTAATGAAGTCTTTTAAGTTTCATGCTTTTTGTGCCTGTTGGGAAATAGCCTAACCCAAGGACACAAAAAATTTCTCCTGTTTTCTTCTAGTTTTATGGTTTTAGGTTTTATAAATTTCTTGTTAAATTTTGTACATGATGTAAAAGTTGATAATCTTTTTTAATATGGATTTACATTTGTTCAACCACTACTTTTTGGAAGATTGTCTTTTCTTTGTCTATTGAATTACCTCAGCACATTTTTAAGAAAATCAACTATCTATCATCTATCATCTATCTATCTCTCTATCATCTATCTATCTATCTATCTATCTATCTATCTATCTATCTATCTATCATCTATCTTTCTATCTATCTATCTATCTATCTATCTATATTCTGGGCTCATTTTTGTTCCATTGATCTATATGTCCACCCTTTGTCAATACTATAACTTCTTGATTACTGTAGCTTTAATAGTAAATCTATTCAGAACACTTTTGTGACCATTATCTTATTTGAGCCTTATAACCCTCAAACCTGGAATTGCCAAAGATTACTAGTATTATATCCATTTCACTGATGAGTAAATAGAATCACAGAGAGCTTGATTGGCCTGCCCAAATTTACACAGCTATCAGTAGACCTGGCATTAAAATCCCCCCAAATCCTAGGATATTGTTCTTTTCCTACCAAACTAACAAAAATAGTGAAAAGAGACTGTGTCTCAAATCAGTGGTACACAGTGGCACATTAGGCACATTATTTCTGAATAACAGACTCCTACATAAAGGCAGGGAGCTCAAAAAACTACCTAAGACTAATAATTTTAGTCCCTCCTTTGTACAAAATAACCTTTTTACTTCTCAGTATTTGGCTTTGTGAGTGGTACATTCAGCATTACTGCATCTGCTATTGCTCTAAATTGGGGTTAATTGGGCTTTGTCTATTCTTAACCCTAATCTAAATGCTAATTAGTTTTAATTAGCATTTAAAAGATTCTTTCCAAAAGGAAATTGTTTCTTGAGTTTCTCTTACTGGAATTTATGTCATTATATTTTTGGCCTTGCAAATTGTTTTCTGTTGGTGATTTGCTTAAAAGGTAGCCTTTGAGTAACAGGATAATTTTCTTCTGTGCTTTATATTCCTTATGCCGAAATGTTTTTATTTTTTTTGTAGTGTTCAACGATTCATTAGTTGCCTATAACACCCAGTGCTCATCAAAACATGTGCCCTCCTTAATACCCATCACTCGGCTGGCAACCCCATCTCCCCACCCCTTCCCTTCTGTAACCCTCAGTTTTTTTCCCCGGAGTCCAGAGTCTCTTATGGTTTGTTTCTCTCTCTGATTTCTTCCCATTCAGTTTTCCCTCCCTTCCCCTGTGGTCCTCCGCTCTACTCCTTATGTTCCACATATGAGTGAAACCATATGATAATTGTCTTTCTCTGCTTGATTTATTTTACTTAGCATAATCCCCTCCAGTTCTATCCGTGTCGATGCAAATGGTGGGTATTCATCCTTTCTGATGGCTGATTAATAATATTCTATTGTGTAAATGTACCATATCTTCTTTACTGTCCTAATTTGATTGCTTTTTAGAATTTTATTGTGCATCAAACATGTATAGTCCTAGGTTTGCATAGGGTAATTGTACTGTTTGATCTTTTCTCCTTCAGAATGAAGAAGTCAGATTCATTGAAAATGAGCTAGAGATTCAAAAACAAAAATACTTTAAACTTCAGACATTTGTTAGAAGCTTGATACTAGCTATGAAAGCTGATGATAAGGAACAACAGCAGGTAGGTGCCAGAAGAGAATAGTAAGCTGTAATGTATCATGTTGAATGACATGTCACACTTGAGTTCTTAATATTTTTTTTTATTTTTAAACTTCATTCCTCCCTGGCCTCGAGGAAGGATTTGTTACTTTATAACCTTTTTGCAAAGTATTTTTAAGAACAGATATTCAGATATTTTTGTGTTGCATTAGTAGAAAATCAAAATAACTGATTAACATACTTTGTTAATTTCAGGCTAGACTTAAGTAGGGAAAATAATTTTAAAAATGAATTTTAAAGAAATTCTCAGTTTTTGTAGAGCCTGGGCTACCCTAACTGGAGAAGCACACATTTTGGAATCTTTTGTGAATAAAATATTCTGGTGCAGAGTTCAGGGAACTATGGCTTATGGGCCAAATCCAACTTGATGTGTGTTTTTGTAAATAAAGTTTTATTGGAACTAAAAAAAACTAAAAAGGTGAGGCATTTGCCTCTCTTCTGGATTTCAGTTACCCTCCAGACCCCACTAGATTTCACAAATGTTTGAATACCTTCTATTTCAAAATATGTTGCTTATCACAAAGAAATATGAAATTACTTTGTGAAATTCTTTGTGACCACAGTGCATCATTTACTTTTCCCAATTTAACTAGAATGTTTGGTTCCTTTACCCCAAAGATGTCTTTTGTTTGTCACTATGGATTTTTTATTTACAAATTCCTCCCAAATTGCATGTTCTGTCTCATTTTTATTAATGTTACATTCAATATTAAAGGATACCAAATTCGCTTCTGAGTTGTATACTATTGTGTCGATTTCTTGAGACATTCAGTGAATAGTATGTCACACAGGTAACAATTAATTTGGAAGCTTTTTTGTAGGTTTTTATTCAAGAAGGAATCTCAAGCATACTGTACAAAAATTCATCCCTTATGTCCAAGCAAGACTGCTCATATGTAGCTAGTCCCAGATATCTCCAGGGAAAAAGAAAAGTCTTAGCATCGCACAATTCTCTTTTAAAAGAAAAGAATTTACTCATGAGATTCAAACCAGCATGTACAGTATGTGTCCAGTTTTATAAAGTTTGCTCTTCCCATGCCTCACACACACAGACATTCCGAGACAGCAGTCTTCAGTTAGCTTTGCCAGCTTTATTTAAGCATGTTGCTGTATTATGTGAGTTATTCATATTCCATGGCATATTGAAAGTGTGTTTGTTTTTTAGGAATGTAAACTATTAATTTTAAATGAATAAGGTGGTAGTCTTAAACATGGTCCCAAGGGTACTGCAAATTTTAAATAACTGTAAAAAAAATTAGGTTCGACCATAGAAATAACTTGGAGTGTGGTCCTGGTCCCAAAAGTTATAGCATGGTTTTGAGTTCAGAGTTACATGGCCAGATAAATAGCAACAACTGTCTATGTGTCTTGATATTTAGGAACAGCACACAGACTGCATTTTGTTTTCTAATTCTGACCTCATCCCTTGGCTTGGTTCTTTCCCCAAGACCACTAACAAATAAGAAAAGTAACTATTGTATATTTTACTTTTCTCCAGTTTATACATTTCCTCTGATAGAAGACTAATGAACTAAGATATGACAAAACATTGGCCATAAAAAAGGAAAAAATCATAAAAAATTGTACTGAAATTCATAACCTATATAATCAGCACCCAAATAGAAACTACTAATTTTTATAGTTGAGATCAGGTATAATAGATGTCTAAATATAGAAAACACTGATAGTAGTTTACAAAAATTATTAAGGTGATCTCTTAAGTTACTAATCTTCACATTATGAGATACTTTGAGGTTTATTTATAGAATAAAACAATTTTTATTCTAACTAATAAAAGAAAATCATTATGTCATTGATTTCTTATTTTAAAAAATCTTAATTTTTTCCCATTAATTTTGGTTTGGGTAAGCTGAGTGACATGAGTAGTTTGCAGCATATTTTCCCCCAATGGAGCAGTCCAGGCTTTAAAAAATATATGACACTCTCTGATTGAAATATTAGATTACCCAAAGGTATTTTTTAATTAATAGCCATTTTTAAGTAAAAATAGTGTTGCCAACACTGTGCTATAATTAGTATCTTTCCTCCCCTGATAATTCACTGTGTGATCCCAGCCAGGTCAATTGCTTTTCTTGAACTTAAATTTCTTCACTTTGCAAGGAGGATAAGAATGATTAACATTATGGAACTTGGCATTCATACCCCAGGGCTTAGAATAAGTGTTATAAAGACAGATGGTATATTTGGGAATTGTTTTCATCTTTTGGTAATAGTGGCACTAGATCAGTCTCTGAAGATAGACTGATGAAGAACCTATAGTAAAAAAGAAAGTTATGTGTTTACTTTAGTATCTATGTAAAAGGCAGCTCTAGCAATTGTCATAATCCATAGATTTGTTCAGTGTGCCAATGTGGCAATCCAGTAAGATATTAAAAAGAATTTTGAAGTGGACCTCATGCATTAGTAGTGCCTTATGTTGCCTTATATATAGTCAGTCGGCTACATGAAATGCAATTACAAAAAAATAAATAATGCTCTTTTGACTTGAAGGTATCCCCACTAGAATTTATAATGTCATTAATTCTGTTCATTTACTTGACTTTCTAATACTCTAAGCACATATTCAATGAATGTGAGTTGGAAGACTTTGCCTTTTTTAGTATGGCTTCTTCACAGTTGCAAAGTGAACTAAATCCAGGGATGTATTTCTCATAAACTATGATCAGCCAATGTCAGCAAAGGCTTTGTTTCACCTTGACTGGATTAGTGATAAACAACTATTCTAGAAGAAAATGGCTCTGTGTCCTATCACTGCAACCTAATACCTTAGAAAGCATATAGAACCAGTAGATAACTGCTTTGTAAATTCTCCAAATTTCAGCAAGAAGGTCATGAGCTATTTAATAGTATAAAATAAATAACTTTTGCATCAGATAGGAGTTAGTCTTTCCTTACGCAGATTGACAAAAAGGAAGTTTCTAATCTTGTCTCTCTGCCATAAGACAAATATATAGGTGTCATTTATTTTAATAAAGAGAATAAAATACTGTTTTATTTCAACAATGCATTTCATAAGTTCTAACATGCCCTGTCTTTCTGTTCCTTAATTCAGTAGTGACAAGCTTGCATTTGTCCCTGTTCCTTTGGTCCTTATTTACCACTGCACCCAAAGACCACACTACAAGTAATTCTGTCTAAAAGTGCCCAGATATGATACATTATTTTTAATATTGGAAACATCAAATCAAGCATTTAGTTCACAGTATTTTTTATGGTCAAGTGGGCATCAGGATTGTCAGCCACATAAAACTTTATTAATCATTTATTTCTCTTGTATGGATGCATGTTCCACAATTCCAGATGAAACAATTTTTCCATAGCAAAGCTTAGTTCATAACTCTTAGCTTATCCTATTTACTCCAACAGAGAAATGAGAAGCCCCCTAGATACATAATTTCACGCTAGATTCACTGTTCAGCTGTGCCCTGGTGGGTGCTTAGCCATCTATAGATATGGGCATAGCTTAAGAAAAGAAATAAAGTTACTTGGAATTTTCAAGTTGTTAATGTTTAGTCTAAAGTAGAATAACTGAGCTTTTTCTCTAATTGATAAGTTCTTTCTCTCACTGAAGTTCAAAATGTCTTGTGAAATGTGTTTTTCTCTGAAGGACACCATAAGTGGGCAGGAGTATTTTAATAAGGAATATAGTTGTAAAGCCCTTTAGCAGTGATCAATGAACACTTAAAAACTAGTATGATCATCACTTTTCTCAAATACTTCAAAGCACTTGGTTCAGAATAGCTGTTCCTTTCCCTTCTGATTTCCCATTTGCCTAGGGTTTGACTCTACATAATCCACACTCTCAAGATCTAATATTTTGTTACTTCCTTAATAGTGTATAAAGAGTTTTTCTTTTATGTAAGCTATTATATAAGGTCCTGAAGAGAAATATTTCATTCTTTAAGTCCATGAAAATAAATTGACAAGAGAGAACAACTATTAACATAAAATTGGAAAAAAAACCTGTCCACATACTAATTCTAAAAAATTGATTTTTCTGACTCAGGTGCTGCTGTCAGATTTACCTCCTGAATTAGAAGAGATGGATTTCAATCATGCCTCACCGGAGCCTGATGATACCTCATTCAGTGTGTCTTCTTTATCAGAGAAAAATGCCTCAGACAGTTTGTGATTTGAGGGGGTTATATGATACATACAGCCTTTGGGCTGCCTAACAGGTGTGCATTTCAAGATAACTGCATTCTGTTGCCTCAAAATTCCTCAGTTGGAAAAACATATTACTGAAACTGACATATTCTGTGAGGAATGGACAAGATATAATGGCTACAGTGCAAAAATGTATGTGAAATTTAAAAACAGCATTTGAGAAATTTTTCCAAACTGATAAAACTCTGGAGGAAATTTGTATTTAATTTTTAGCAGTTTATCTATGAAATGCATAATGCCTAATTTCTGAAAGATTTCTGTTTGGTTTTTAGAAGAATCTTAGTTTTAGTAATAGTTTTGACCAGAGACACAAAAATAAAGGTATTTCAACATTACTTATCAAGTTACAAAACTTGGTTAGTTTTGTTTTGTAGCCATTACATCTTTATTCTCTCTCCTTTTCCTATCACCCATATACACTTTTACTCAGGAAAATGGACTGAAATTTGAAAACAAAACTTTAAAAATGATTTTACCTGGATGAGTCCTGGGATTTATTATCCAATTCCTATGAGAATTTGACTTAAGCTAATGATTGAAAATTGAAGTGGTCACTGGTATATAATTGTAAATTGCTGGTATTCTTCCATTTTCTAATCCAAATATTTGGGGGGAGGGGGAAAGCACTATGGAAAAGTAATTCGCCAACATGAAATCAAATACATTATTAAGTGTACAGAAACAAAAAGTTGTAAAAGATTAGTCTTAATGGGGATTCTTCATTGCTGCAAATGACAAATAAGGTCATTTGCAGCATAAAGATAAGATTCACATTCTACTAATAAATTTGTGTAACTGAGTTAGATGAATTGTTGCACAAATATTACACATTTATCACTATCTTCATAATATTTTTTCAATTCTTACATTTTATGAAACAGGAAGACAAGGTAAGGCAGAGTCTTCTTTTTTAATCTAGTGACTCAGTTTTGCCACAAATTTTGCCTCATTCTTATGTGAGGCTTGTACAGAGCCATCAGCCAAGGATAATACCCGAAAAGAATTATACACTACTATGGTTGTAAATCACAGTCCTCTGAATTTCCTGGACACTTTTCTGTGAGTACACTCCTAAAATGGGCATGCTACCCAGTTGTTCTATTGGTAGGTACCAGATGGCTACACACTGTAGACAATTTTTTGCAGACCGTTCTTCTGGGGTACCAGATGGTATTACCAAAACCCATAGAAGGGAAAATGCCAGTGTCTTAGTTTCTCCCTGAGCACACAGCATCATGTATTTGTGTGTTGCATGGCTAAATTACTATCTATTCCTAAAAGATTAATCAAGTAGCTAGATTGCTCTTTTTTTTTTTTTTTTTTTTAGAGAGGGAGAGAGAAAGAGGTGGGGGAAGGGCAGAAGGAGAGAGAATCTTAAGCAGGCTCCATGCCCAACATGGAGGAACCCTATCTGGGTCTCAATCTTACAACCCTGAGATCATGACCTGAGCTGAAATCAAGGGTAAGATGCTTAACTGACTGAGCCACCCAGGTGTCCCAACTAGATGGCTCTTTTGGCCATCAAGTTTCTATGTCACATATTTTTGTAATTTGCAAGTAAAACCAATTTTGATCTTGGAATTCAAAGATACCAATTTATGAATGCAAAAAGGCAGTCATATATATCTTTAACCTTGAAATGTCCCCTCCCCACATACATAAATAGGTAAGGTTCATTAATAATCCTTCATTTTATCAGCTATTGTTTATGATTGTTTCCATGCCACTGCTATGGTTCTTTTCTTAACAGAAATATTTCAATGGTTAGGTATGATCCCTTTTAGCTGAAAGCCATATGGTTCTTTTCAAATACTGTTTAGTACTCCTTGCTGACAAGTAAAATTCCATTCAGAAAAAGAGTTCTGAGTAAAAGGCATTGGGATTAAGTTTATCAGTCACACCAATCCCTCCATGAAATAAAGAGTCCCTACTATACACAGCAATTGTAGAAACCATTTCATAAGGTAGAATGAACAAATTCCAGGCTTTCAATTCTCTCCTAGGAGCTCCTTTCTATTCATTGGGTTTATCTTTAAACTGCAATTTCTTGTGCTTCAATTTAAGCTCTTTCTTATTTAGTTCTTGTCACCAAGTAAGGATAGATAATTCTCTCCTACATCTTTCAACTTTATGGATTGTATTTGTCACACCTCAGCAATTAGTCACCAAATCAAAAAATATCCATTGAGCTTCTGCTATAGGGTCATTGGATTTCTACTCCTCAGCAAGCCATAAACTTCAAAACGAATTGTCTTTTCACTTTCTCAGAGATACTAATAAAAATTATTTAAGTAGAAATTTTAATAGATTTAAAGATTCTGTTAGGTGTGATTCCTAGAAAAAATCCTCATCTACAATTTTGAGAAGATGCATAGATGATTCCTTTGTTCCTATTTAAAGTTCCGTTAAAATAGAAACCGTACACGTAGGAATCCTTTGGTTTTCGCATTTGTGTTTCAGCACCAGAGTTATTTCTTTTATTATCATTAAAATTAAAACATTTTTAAAATGAAATGTAGTTGTTCTGTACCAGGGACCAAAAGAAATAGCTGTATCTAGAAAAAAAATAATAACTGACAGATTTAATTAAGCACTGCAGATTTTTAAAAGATGCCAAAGTCAAGTATTAAAAGTTTATTATGAAGAAAATATATATTTTTACAAATATATGTTGGAATTTTTTTGAGACATCTTAAAGCAGAAAAGATACCAGTTTGACTGCTTTTGTTACATCTTCATGACTGGGAAGAGAAAAACAACTAATGTTTCTTTCTTTATGGCTTTGACACATTAAAACAGATCATACTATCTGAAACATCTCTCACAAAGACAGATACCAAGGTGACAAAGCTTTTTTTTTTTTTTCCTTTTAACTACACTTTGATGTCTGCTTTCAGCTTAGGATATCCAACCAGTTTCTAAGTAACAAATGTTTATCTAAGGGCACTTACCTTAAAATGTGTATTAAAAAACAACATGAAGGTACATTTTAAAGGAAAATGTTAAAAGAAAATTGGTCTTTTGGGAGGGCATCTGGGTGGCCCAGTCTGTTAAGCAGCTGCCTTTGGCTCAGGTCATGTTTTTAGGGTCCCGGGATGGAGCCCAGCATCAGGCTCCCTGCTCAACAGGGAGTCTGCTTCTCCTTCTGCCCCTCCCCCCTGCTCATGCTCTTTCTCTCTCTGTCTGTCTCTCTCTCAAATAAATAAATAAAATCTTTTTTAAAAAAAAGAAAATTGGTTTTTTCATGGAAACTGGGGATGTTTTGTTGTAAGGTCAGGTATCAATTTTAGGACTTCTATGCTACCATTGTGATCATGATAAAAATGTTATTGTTGGAGATGAAAAAGCTACAAACCAATCACATCCTGTGCTCTGTATACTACCAAGACTTCAAGAAATGTCAAAGAGGCCATTTCCCCAAAGGCAGAAGCATCTATTTTAAGGCACTTCCATAGTCATCCATCTTTAAGTTTATCAGATAAAGCATAAGTGGTGTATTTAAAAGAATTCTAGGCTCTAAATTAGACTTTACTGCTTCATGTTTTGGGGGAGGAGGGGAGATTCAGCCCATTTCCAAGGAATAGTTTCCTCATTTTAGCTGATAGTTTAGGATCATTTTTAGGAGAAATTCTGAAAAATTTAACTCCTGTCCTTCTTCCACATTGTAGTGATGGTATAGCAGGAATATTGTCTATTTTTAAAAATATATTAGATTTTCATTCAGGTCCTAAAAATGACAAATTCTGACATATTAGCCTTTTAAGGGAGCTATCAGTGCTATAGTGTCTAAAAGATGAGTAAATGTTTATCTTTGAAGTTGGTGTTATTCTTGGCAGACAACATTATCATATTCATCATATCAAGCTGTACTTTGTGATGATATAAGGGAGCATCTTACTAATTGTGAGACTACTAATTGTGAGACTACTAATCAGCATACTATTGCCCCAAACAAACCATTATTAAGATCAGATTTGTCAAGAGGGAAAGAGAGTAAAATAATATTTTCATGAAAATATAGTTATGATTGTTCTGTTAAAGTTTATACTGAGTATATATTGCTCTGCATTGAAATTTTATTTTGTGTTAACTTGTTAAGTAATTCCTTTAAGTGATCCTGCATCTCATTTTACTGATACTACCTCTGAAATATATTACCACCTTAAAACCACATCACTGTAATGTGATCTTTTATAGGGTTTTTATTTAAATTTTTTATAGAGGCAATAAATGATTTCCAACTAATAGACATCTATTTCTTTCTTTTAATGTTTATTTTTCTAAGTCTCTGTGTTTTTATTTTTTGAGAGAGAGAGAGCACAAGAATTGGGGGAAGAGGGGCAGAGGGAGAAGGAGAGAGAGAGAATCTTAAGCAGGCTACACACTCAGTGGGGACCCCAATGCAGGGCTCTAGCTCATGACTTTGAGATCCTGATCTGACCTTAAATTAAAAGTCAGATGCTTAACTGACTGAGCCACCCAGGTGCCCCATAAGTCTTTGTGTTTAAAGCATTGTTCCTTTTTTAAAGATAATTTTTTTCTCCCCCAAATAAGATTCTGATAAAAAGACCCTCAAAATGTGGAGAATAATAAGGTATTAAGGGTAAAAGAAGGGAGAACATGGAATGCTCAAGTGAATATTTGGTTGACTTCCAAGCTGCCAGGTATGTCATCTTTAATTAACTTTACTTAAGAAAGAATTACTCCAATGTCAATGTAATAGAGTGAATATTCTGTAATACATAAAAGATTTGTCCAGGATAGGATATTTAAATGGTAAAACCAGAAAGTAAATTGTCACAGTATAAACAAATAATTGTTATTTCATAGCAATTTTTTTTAAGTGACAGTGTTGCATCTACCTCTGGCTTTCTTTGACACCAGTAGAGCAAGTGGTTCTGTTTTGGATAAAATATGCTCATGCCATTTTTGTCAAAATCTTAAACCAATTAAAACTCTTCATGTTACCTAACTAATGGGAGAGGGCAGGGGGTGAGTTTCAAATAGCAC